TCCGTCGTCGAACTGCCACACTTTGTTAGTATAGATGAGGCTATGCTCTAACCTCATTTAAAGCTGCTCTATCCTGGGAAAAGTGACGTCATTCTTTGTTGTGGAAATGCTCGAGACATCTGGCGCGCCACTTCTGGGAAGAGCATGGCGTCCGAAATCTAGCCCAGTCAAGGTGGTTATAAATACTAGGAGGGAGCAAGTTGCAAGGTGTGAAGCCTACTCATAAAAAGTTTAATCGAATTGTGGCCAACGTGACCGTAGATCTCTCTGGCAATTGGTGCGCGTGACATCTCACGTGCGAGATGGATGGTTGATTGTAGAAGGATGTCTTGCTGGCTTGCGCAAGCTATGTCCGGTAGGTTTTATCGGATAAAAGCTAGACATGAAGCAAGCAAGCAAGCAAGCGGTTGAGGCGGATCACAAGCAGACGGCACACCGCTGCTGGTACACGGGACGATCAGGGCAATCGCCGCAATCGCAACGGAAAAAACGAAAGCCTTTTCGTCGGCGGGACGCTAATTGCCTCCGGCTACGGAATTGGCGCTTGTAGCGTGGATGGCTGCCACAATCGGACAGGCTTTTCTTCAGCGGGGGTTACCTTTCACCGGTAAGCCCTTGGCCTATTACACACACATAGTTTGACGGTAACAGGAGTTGATCAAGAATTTTCTGAGATTTCCAACGGTCGCCGAACTGCGGAAACGGTGGACTTTATCCGTTGGTCGTGGCAGTGGCTGGATCCCATCGAATTGGAGCGTGGTGTGCTCCGTGCACTTCCAATAGTAAATAAAACATACACCAGCCTCGAGTCAAGTTGAGCTGGTTCAATTTTTACGACAACAATAAAACGTTCCAGTGGACGACCTGCAGAGTGGCCACAACGAAAAGAAAAAGCCAAACGTATTGTAGCGTGATATGACATGACAGCGATGAGAGCGCAGCTGCCAAGTTTGCAGGCGGGTGCGAAAATCAACGCTGTAAAAGTGCCTAACTATTGGTCCTAGCCTGTCGGATCGACATAGTTACGCAATCATGTGTATATATAAATTTTTCTTGCTTTGGCTACTGTAGTAATTAGTGGCCAGGAGATAAAAGGAAAACTCCACGTTGATGCACGCAGTGCAAGATACATTAACCAAAACACGCCAACAGGCCATCGTTAGAGCGCTAACGTTCCACGTTGAATACTATCGTTTTCAGAATAATAACGGTCTGTAGAAAACGTAATGCATTTACTTTATATTTGAGGGTACATAACGAAGCCCAGCAGGCGTGGAATCGGTAGGCTGGTTGCGGGCCACAGTTTCTAGCTGCGATGACTGATAAATAAAACGCACCAGCACCATGCTCCCTGCTACCCGTAATTATCAACCACGCAATGATCACGTGCTGTGGACACGTTGGCCACTATAAGTGAGGAGGATGAGGAGGAAAATGAGAAAGAAGCGAGGCGTCAATGGAGCATGGCTTGTGGAGGCTACGCGGCTGACTTCATGCCCCCTCCTACACTTCTAATCTCCTTGACCCCAATACGTACCAGTACCGCGCTGTGCCGCCACGATCTCCCCAAGGGGTGCACGTTGCACGTGCCTCATGCACGGTGCATGCTGAACATGTTGTTTCGTTATGCAATAATACCTTACTACTGCTGTGTCTCGCAGATTGATTTTTTATTAATATGAACGTTTTTACAGCGAATTTTGGAATAATTGCGGCGTCTTGCTGGGATAATCAGAATGGTAAAATAGCAGGACCCCCGCCACCTGCCTCTATCGCGGGGTTTTATTAACTATACTCTATCACGCAATTGTGCCCGTTGCATCAACAGTAACCAAAACGATAGCAACAATGAAGACACGGGGACAACTGCGGCTCGTGATTCTTTCACGAGTCTACTTCTTGCATTGCTTTCCACGCTCCATGCCGCCAACAGTTCTTCCGATGACTGATTTCTTTGTGCCGTTACGGTAAATCTGAACAGAACCAACGCAACCTTTTTTAACCAGACTTGCTAATGTAATTATTTAGATGTACCTAACGTCCGCACCACATCCAAGAAGAACAACACCGTAAGAACTAGCGCGGTGAAATCTTTGCAGGCAGAGCAGGGACGGTGGAGAAGCCTGATAGTTACCGCGGAGGCTTGATATTTCGCACGGGCGCCGAGAGATGGCGTTAATAATGATAAGATTCTAGGGTGCCTCCCTCTGCCGGCCGGGGAACGGAGGCACCCTATAAGATCCTGTTGGCTGCACTACGCAAAGATGATACATCGCCAGTCGCTTCGGGTAGGTCCTGAGGGCTCAATGCTTCAAAAGTGGGAGATGTATCAAGCCCATAAGCAGTACGCTAAGCAACTGACGCAGGACAAAATTAGAACAGCTGACGCACATACAATCCATGATATTCGCCTCAGTGGGAAAGACGCCGCACGGATGTTTTGGACATGCATATGCACACTCGAGGGCCGAGATCAGGCCACTCTCATCTTGGACGAGTGCACGGGGTAGGAAGGGGAAGACTTAGGGGCACAAATCGCTGCGCATTTGAGAGAAATGTTTTCTCCAGAGCTTTTGACCACTGCCAAGAAAGGCCATAAGACACCCAATGACCCTCTCGATGCCAACCAGTGGGAATTTCTGTGAAATTAGTGTTATGCGCGCTCTGGAGGCCCATCTCAAACAAAATACCACCAAGGGATTAGATGGTATCCCGGCAACAGCCCTGAAGGCTCTCGCAAAAGATGCCAGACAGCAGCTGGCGTCGATGCTCAACGTCAATTCATGCTCATAAAGTGCAACATAATTGGATGGTTGAAGCAGCACTATCTTGCGTTTCATGCCATAAAATAGGAAAATGCTAACACAAATATGAGCACCTTAAGCATTTCATCTTACTCTGCAAATGTATTGCTTAGTGGTAAACGGGAACACGTCCATATACCTCTTTATAGTTCTGCCTGCTTCATTTGATATAGAACCTACTTTAATTTCCGAAAAATGAAGCGGTCTTTACAATTGTGGTGCACCTGCCAGCTTACCGGTGGTACCAGGGTGATAGGGTCACACCATATAGGAATCGTGGTACCGCTGTCGGCCGCCAAGTGCTGCAACTGATGGTCACACCTCCCCTTCTAGCACAAAGTAGCTAATTCATGGTTCTGGGTTGGGTTGCTTGCAGCTCCAAACAGCAAACTCGAGTGCACCTTCGAGTGCCACCAAACATTTCCTCACAATTTCGCACCACGTCAGTTTCCAATTCAGAGGCTGTGGAGTGTTAAATGAATAACACATACACTTTTGATATTTTGTAATGAACTTATTCTGCAATTTTTTGAGGCTCTTGGAAACACGCACACAAATACTTTCACGTCACCTCTCTGCCTCGCTCTTTTTTCACACTATCCCTCTCTCACACAAACGACATACGGTTCTTGCGGTGTGTCAAGAAGTCCGAGATGTCCGGTGTGCAAGATACTCACCATAAAACCATAAAGCTCGGAAGCATATTCTCACCGAACTAAGTGTGGTCGAACTCGCAGAACGCATTGGCCGCATTGTCATGCATTTGCTCGCATGATTGTCGTTGGGCTGGTGTTTCGCAGTAGGACCATATTCAGGTACTGATGACTCCAGTGAAATCGACGGCAACAGGCGGCTATAACAGGAAGCTGTGGCGGCAGGTTCGCTCACCAGCTTTCCCGAGCGAAATAAAGTCCCTTGATAAAAGCGTTTTTCACAAGTACCGCCAACCATTGTTGTGGAAGCGCTCGAGAAACGTGCCATGAGCGGGTGCTCCGCCGCCATTCGTTTCCAAGGCCCGCTCATTTCAGTGCTGCGCCGCCATTTGCTTCCAAGGGCCGCTCGAGACATGGGCCTCGTGCACTCGCGCATTTGACGCTACTTGCAAGACAAGCGCAAATACATCGAGGGGCTTTAGAGCGAAACAGTTCTTCACGGCGCCTGGTGGTCTAAAGACGAAGCCGGAAGAGTAAATTCAAAAACACGTGATGAAAATCGTCGATATATTCTGGTGGACGGGCGTGTTCGCTTTGCTGACTGTTCCGCCATATCGCAGTGTTCAACGGACTTTCTGAAGTGCAATATATTCGGAAATGGTCTAATTAGACCCATTTCGAAAATAAATCTGGTCACTTGGACTATTATCTTTTCACCAGAGTCCATGACATCAGTTCCATGCTAATGGATATTTTCCGGTGGTTGATGAAGGAAGAAGTAGAAGACATGCATTGAAGCCGCTAACACGGACCTGATGCCGTACCAATGACATCTTTGGATTGGAATCGCCTTCCCGCTCCCATCGTTGACATAGTCGAAAGTGCCGAGTTTAAAGATACCGTTTGTAACCATGTTCTCTGTTCCGAGTAACAAGTTTGTTTGATGTTTCTTGTTTTTTTTTTTTTTCACCTGCCTAATTGACTATGTGTGGCATTATAGATGTTCTGTTCACTCCCCTCTGTAATGCCTTCGGGCCCTGAGGGAGTAAATAAATAAATAGATAAATACACAGATTGGACATAATGACTGCGTCAGCGTTTTTTCTTTAATTTGACAATATTAATCAATGGACTCTTACTGGATTCAGATGATTCTTGGTTTGGTAAATTTTATAAAGTGCTTCACTCCCGTTAGTGTCACTGAATAACCTGCATTTAGAGTATCGGCACTCTATTCCCCTACATGATTAGCAATTTTTGTAAGAGTTCTTGTTAAAACTTTCCCAATATAATTTACATACTGGAGTTGTATGCCTTAGTATACGCTTGAAAATAATTTGTTTCCTGTGTTGAAACTGCTGCACAATGCAATTTCTATGTGAATCCTTCTGCATCACATATTCTTCAGTCTGTATCTTTGCATATTCGCTCGTCTCTTTTTTGTATTGCCTTCCCCCTCCTACAATACCGCACAGAATGATATTGTAGGTACCTGAATAAATAAAGAAATAACTATTTATTGTTAACGTTCTCTTGATTGCAGATCACGAAGAAATACGAAGACAAGTTAAAGACCACGTATGCGCGGTCTAATGCTGCTGCTGTAAGTTTATCCTCGCTTTTACACTTGTTTAGTTGCAAAACAGCAAAAATTAAACAAACGTCTTCTGCCAATACAAAAAAAAAAAAAAATACAACAATACCTTTTCTGAGCTAATATATTGTTTTCTACTTCGTTTCTATTTTTTTCTGTAGGAATGCACTGCCAAGTTATTCCGCCACTCGGCCTTTAAAGAGACTCACTAAGATTCCACGTAATGACACACTTTACAAGGAGTTTCGGGTGTCGCAAAAGCATCTTCATACGCACTCAGCCACAAATATTATCTGAGACAATAAATCTACTCCCCCATGAACCCTTGTGTGTGTCAGTAGATTTTTCCTGAGCTCATATATTTGTAATATACATAATTATTAAATGTGTGCAGAGTTCTGGAATTACAAGTCTACAATAAATACCTTATTTTTGATCACTAAATGGGTTCAATATTGTTTTCAAAAAATCAATATATTAGAACGATTGGTGTTTATTAGAAAAAATCGAATGGAAGTGATTCTGTTGTCGAATACAAGTTAAGGGAGCGCAATATAAACTACACTAATTACCAGTAGGGCATCAGATATCTCCGCGAACGAACCAGGAATTAGTCATGACAATTTATGTAACGTGCACATCGGTAGGGATCTTCACGCGGATATACGGCAGGTTTCCTGACGGAGCACGCTGCATATATATATATATATATATATATATATATATATATATATATATATATAAAACGGGCATGGTGGCGGGGGGCCAAAGGCGTCGCTATAGAAGAAGAAAAGAACCCTTAGTGAAAACAGCAACAACGAACTATTTAATCTTCGACGTTTTGGCCGGACTCCGGCCGAAACGTCGAAGATTAAATCGTCCGTTGTTGCTGTTTTCGCCTAAGGGTTCTTTTCTTCTTCTATATATATATATATATATATATATATATATATATATATATGTAAAATATCGGTACAGGAGGAGTAATCAAAAGGATTTATATACAATATTTACATTTGGAATGCGTTGAGGTCCGTTGAGGCGTTTCTTTGCGATCACGCCTTCATCCTCCTCTTCATTCCGTTTCTAAATGTCGCGATCAAGTATTTGTCCTTTTCTTTGTCTTCAATGAAACAGATGTAAGTTCATACAAATATTCTACACACTTCCGCCCCCGCAATGAGCATCTCTGCTTATTCATTAAGTGACTCTAATGGGTACAAAAGTTGTATAGGCCGTTTGATAACTTTGCCGTATGGCAGCCTTATCGAACAAGATCTCACCTTGCCGTCACGTCCAGGAAACGTTTCTGCTACTCGACCCATTTTCCAACATTGTCGGGGAAGTAAATGTTCATCTAATAACACAAAATCCCCCTCTTTCAAAGAGCGCGACAGGACGGGACGAGAATGGTGGGCAGACCGGAGTTCGTTAAGGTATTCTCTTCGCCATCTATTCCAAAAGTGATCTGTCACCTTTCGTCTGTGCTTCCACCGCCTCTGTCAAGGGAACTTGTCAAGGGAACTTGCACTTACAACGCTCGGAGGTTCGCTGCGGGGGAGTGACGTAAGTCGCTTTCCAACGAGGAAGTGCGCTGGTGTGAGAGGGGATGGTTCTGAAACCTCTGAATATACGAAGGTCAACGGTCTGGAGTTAAGCACTGCTTTGATCTCAGTTAATATCGTGATCAACTCCTCGAATTTCAGGTAACTACGTCCTAAAACCTTTTTCAGTGAAGTTTTCACACAACGAACCATACGCTCCCAAAATCCCCTCCACCAAGCTGCCTTTTCTACTATAAAACGCCACTCAATTCGGAAAGACGCAAACATGGCTGTGACTTCCTCTCGACGTATGCAGTTCCACAGTTCTGACAGTTCACGATTTGCGCGGCGGAATGTCCGTGCGTTATCCGTCATTACTACACGGCAAACTCCTCTGCGAGAAATGAATCGTCTAAAAGCTAGAATAAATGTTTGGGTAGTCAAGTCACTTACAAGTTCGAGATGTACCGCTCGGGTTACAGCGCAGGTAATGATAAGAATGTAGCACTTGCTAACACTGCCACATTCTTTAGAGAAGAAGGGACCCGCGAAATCCATCCCGGAGATTTCAAAGGGATCAGCTTGGTTCACCCTCATACTCGGTAGCGGTGCGGTTGTTTCGCTAGCTGGCTTGCATCGAAAGCGATCGCAGGTTACACATTGCTTGATTATTCTTTTAGTAACTTGCCGTGCTCTTACTATCCAGTATTTTTCTCGGAGACTGGTTAAGGTGTCACAAAGACAAGCGTGCAGAAGCCTCTCTTGAGTAGATCTTATTAATAGTTCCGTGAACTTATGTGCGCTGGGCAGAATGATGGGATGTTTTTCTTCTATTCTTTGCTGTGTCTTCTGTAGTCTTCCGCCCACTCGTATGATGTCACTGGAGTCGAGAATCGCTGTGGGAGAACTCAAAGGTGATGTTTTGTCAAGAGTCTTTCTTTCTTTGAGGCTAATGAGATCATGGCCGTATTCTTCACGTTGGGTTTGTTTTATCAATGTGATTTCGGCTTCCTTTATTTCGACGGCAGTCAAGCCTCCCTGTCTCCTGGTCAGTCTTTTGCAGTTGTGTACAAAACGAAGAATCCAAGCAGTTTGACGTAAAAGGCGATTAAGGTTGTTGTGAGTTTCTAGTGAAATAAGGGGTTCTACAATCAAGAGAGTCGTGCAAGGAACTGTTTGTCTTTGTTGTAAAGATGTGTTATCCTCCATTAGCCCATCTTTCATCGACTGTTCAGGCCATTCTCGCGATGGATTTTGTAACCAATGTGGTCCAGTCCACCATATTGCACTTGACGCAAGTGAAAGAGGAGTAACACCCCTAGTTAGGAGATCAGCTGGATTTTCGTTACCTGGACAATGTCTCCACTGTATAGGATTCGTTAGTTGTTGGATCTCTTCTACTCTGTTCGCAATGAAAGGTTTCCATTTTGACTTTGAACCCTTGATCCAGTGCAACGTGATATTTGAATCAGTCCACAGGAGGACGGCTTGTATGCGTATGTGTAAATTCTCGATAAGATAGCGTTGTAACCTAGCGGCTAACAAGGCCCCCATAAGTTTTAGTCTTGGAAGTGTAAGATTCTTCATGGGCGCTACTCTGGATTTGGATGCGATCAGACCAGTCGTGACATGTTTCTCATTGTCGATCTTGAGGTACGCTGCCGTACCGTATGCCCTTGGACTTGCGTCTGAAAACACATGAAGTTCTACAACTGAACCATCGCCCTCGGTGTCTAGGTTTGAGTATCTCCGGGGTATCGTTAATTCGTGAATAGTTGACAAATGCGAGCACCAATCTACCCATTCTCTGGTGATGTAACCTGGAAGATCGTCGTCCCATCCTACTGCCTGTTCCCAGAGTCGTTGAAACAGCAACTTCACTCTCACGGTCACCGGCGCGATCCATCCAAGAGGGTCAAATATTCTTGCTGAAGTCTGTAAAATGTTGCGTTTCGTTAGCTTCACAAGGTTTACGACACCCAGTATGTTGTCAACGTTAATAGTAAGTTGATCGCTGGCCCTGTTCCAAAGAAGGCCTAGTATTTTCATAAAATTCCCTGTAGAGTCGTCTGGTGAAAATTGTGTTTCCTCTAATGATTCGCCCTTATCAAAGATTGATTGTAAATCTTTGTCATTTGTGCACCCCTTACGGAGGTTCATGCCGGCTTCACCCATGATAACCTTAGCTTCTTCGTGAAGCACTTGAGCTTGTTTGACTGTTTTCGATCCAGCGAGTAAATCGTCAACGTAAAGACAGCTAGATAAGGTCATGGTGGTTTCTGGAAACCGGCCTCGGACACTCTCCAAATGATGTCGTATAGTGGCTGCAAGGAGGAACGGGCTGCAGGTTGCTCCAAACGGGATTCTTGTCATTCTCCAGATTTCTGGAGGGTTGTGTGGTTGAGCAGTTCTTGGGATGTCTCGAAACCAGAAAAAACGAAGAGCGTCTCGATCTTCGGGTGCAACAAAAACTTGTAGAAAAGCCTTTTCAATATCAGCGCAAAGGGCGATCGGGTGCCTTCTAAAATTTAACAGCATTTGCATCAGGTCAGGATTTAAGTTTGGTCCTGCATGGAGGTTTTGATTTAGAGAAGTACAACGTGGGGCATGAGACGACGCATCGAACACTATCCGTACCTTGGTTGTCTGTCGATCATTTTTTATCACGGCTCTGTGGGGCAAGTAATACGTTTTTTCACTGTGTTCCTCGTCATCATCAGGTTGGACTCGTTCGGCGAACCCTTTAATAAGGTACTCCCTCACAGCCTTGTCATACTGCATGAGCAGACAGTCATCTCTACGTAGTTTTCTGAGCAATGCAGCTAAGCGAGTTTCTGCAACATCCTTATTGTCTTGTAACAGAGGTTCAGGGGACTTCCACAATAGCCGGGCTTCGTATCTTCCGTCTATCTTCTTCACGGAGGAGTTGAACGATTTTAGTAAATACAGAAAAGAGCCACACTCTTGGTCCTTCGATGGGGAGTCCCTAATTCCCAGACTTTCTAGTTCCCAAAATTTGCGCAGTTCTAAACGGATGTCTTTAGATGCCTCGCCAACGCTCATCGTGAACATAGCAGTGGCGGTACATACATTAGAGGCGTTACTCACTTTTACGGGACCTTGCAAAGACCAGCCAAATATGGTCTCCACAGCAGCTAGAGATGAGTTGATACGTTTGACACTCCCAGTCGTTACTTTCCAATAATAATCAGACCCGATGAGAATGTTCACTCCAGGTTCTGGTTTTTCGTTCTTTAAGGGAAGGTCCGCCAGAGTCATACCCTTCGACTGTAGATTTTGTATGAGGCTGGTGTCTGTTACGCAGAGAATTTCTCCACAAATCTCGGGGACTTCCAAGGCCTCTATGACAATCTGTGCTCTGCTGTGATGGCTTTTCAGAAGAATCTCGACTCGGCGACACCTTCTTTTCGTTCCTTGTGCAGAGTCACCAAAAGCGAAAATGGTGAGGTCGTCTTCACCGACGGGTCGGCAACGGAGCTTTTCTGAGACAGTCCGTTTTACAAAGGAACGCTGGCTCCCCCCATCGATCAGGACTCGAAGTGTTGTCTCAATTTGACCCTTAGCTAGTACTTTAGCAGTCTGAAGTAACACTTGTTGGGGGCTACTTGATCCCGCCCTAGATATCCCGATGAACTGCGAAGGCCCTC